TGGGATCGTATACGTAATTATAGGATAGAAATTTTATGTATTAACATAGAACATGATGATGGCTTTGTCTGGTGATTATTTCTTACAGTAACAGGTTGTTATGAAAATCCGCGGATATTCTTTATTTTTCGCATAATTCATTGACTGAAATACAATAAATTAATACACAAGAGCAGAGAAAAACTGCACTCGCTGCCCCACAAATAACAAGTTTACATTTTAATTACGTAATTGGTGACAGGAATAGAAGCTGCAAACAATACGCTCAAAAAACAAAGGAAGTGTGAGAAGGGCGGTGATTATACCAACGTTAAGTTAGTTAAGTAGTGTCATCTATTTACTATTGGTTCATTACAAATTTTGGTTGTAATACTTAGGTAAATGTCTACATTTTCACTTTGGCCTTTATGTAACTACGTCATAAGCGTTATATAAGAGACGCATTTCAGAGATCTTTGTTATAGGCTTGTTACTGTTTTACGACAGAAAAGAGAAATAAGCAAATTAAAAAGAAGACTTAAAGAGCTATTGCAAATTAAAGTTACAATTTTATCGTACATATTCCTTATTTTAGTTTTTGTAGTGAATGCGGGCTAGTTTTCATTAGAAAGTGTTCCATAAAGGTGTCCCTCATCTTAAGCAGATGATTGCGTGCGCTTTGCCATATTCCAATCACCTAACCTGATCATACACACACACAGATGTAAAATATAAAAAATATGATGGTTTTGCCCTACGCGAACAGGCAACCTATAATTAACTTTCCGCAATTTCAGGATCTCCCCCCTAGACAAGTACTTTCGAGAACATTCTGGCATGTTATGCAACAGCTAGTATAAATACAAAGTTAGCTCCATTTTTCGTCAGACTGCTTTTTCCTTCTGCTGCTATCAGACTTTTGCTGCCGCTCTTCCTATCTGTCTCCCTTTGTTCGAATTGTATGAAACAGTAAATTTAATCTTATTTAGTTTAAATCAATATTGAATATGTAATTTTGGAGAATTTAATCGAAAGTAAAAATAATCTGCGGGGAGAATTGAATAAAAATGTGGAATCAAAACAGCTAACTTTTTCTCTGTCGTCATTGTATGCCGCCTTACACTCATCCACAACAATACCTGGATTCTGATGTAGTTATATTGTCCAGCTTTGTCATTCCTGTGCCTACCCGCAAAATCATCACATATATACAAGTATATATACTTGTATATATATTGTTTCACAAGAAAATAGTAAAATTAAATTTAAATAATTCTCTTGCGCCTTTGCTGCAAGGAGTGAAATTTGAATTTAACAAATATTCTCTTTTCGTATAAAGCTAATATTAATTACGAATAGAGAATATTTGTTAAATTCTAATATATATATGTAAGATAAAAATTTGAAAGCAAACTTCTAAATTTAATTCACTATATAAGCTCTTTTATTTTTTATTTCATTTGGGAACTTCATCTCTTTGTCCTAAAAATAGCGCTGAATGTCTAAACTGCGTCATTAAAATTAATCATGGGATCTTACGTAACCCTTAATGCATGTAATATTTTATGTGGTAAATTCTAATTTAAATTATTTATTATTATCCTCATCTTGTGTTTCAATGTTCAAATTACAATTGAATTTTGATAATTATCAAATTTATCAGTTTAGAAAGCAGGTGAGTAAAAATGTTAAATGAGATAAGTTTTTTCAAAACAATTTTGTATGTAAAAGTGAAATTAGTACTAAAACGTCTGGCAATTATCTTAAAAATAGTGAAAATTCTGATAATAAATTGCAAAAATTGCTGAATAGAAATAATCATATATTTGCTAAAACTAAATATGATGTTGGTTGTATTAAGATTGAAACCCCCAGAGTTGTATTAACTTCTGAATTACCAATAGCCTACAGACCATATTGTTACGAAATGTACAAGTAACATAGCTTCCTCGCAAAGCAGGTTTAGGGTTGCCATAAGATGGCAAGGGAAGGCAGGGTTGCTACATTTGACAAGAAATCGCCCATTTGGCGACAAAATTGGCGCTATCCCATGGACGGATGGAGAACCTTCTGGAATGAATTCTTACCGGTTTACCCCAGAATGTTCTCGAACACAAGCCGAAAGCTATATAAACCCTGCTGGTCCGCAGTCAGTGAGTGTATCTCGCCTAGCGAGTCAATCCCTGTGGAGTCGATCGAGTTGACAGCCGGGCAGCGAGTGCCGAGTGCACCGAAGGAGTCTGTTAGTGTATCGCGGTTAGTGTATCGTCGAGAGAGCGTGTTGAGCTCCGGAAACGCCTGAACCGAAGAGTCGGGAACTGTTCTCGTGTGTCGTCGAGTGCATCGCGAGTTGTAGCGGGGAGAGTCTCGAGAGTACGTGGAGTTCCGAGAACGACTAAGCAGAGAAGTCGGGAGCAGTTCTCTGGTGCTTTGCAGGAAGCTGTCTCCACCGTTATTGCCTGACAGTGTGAAGGCTGTGTCGCTGATTGTTCCAGCGTGTTTATAGTAGATCTTCGACGACTGTAAAAAATGTTATTGGAGCTGTCCTGATTAACATTGGGTAAATAAAGTGTGTTTCGATACTTCATCAAGTGTCGTCGCTATTCACTCCAAATCTACAAACCCCATACGAAAGTGAAGGAAGAAAATAACGTAACAACTGGTGACAGAAAAAAAAAACGTAACAACTGGTGTTAGAAAAGAAAAAACGCAACAATATCGAGCAACTCCTAAAGATAATAGTGAAATTAAGAACCATCGGGATGTTCTTGTTTTAAAACAGCACCAACAGTTTTTTTAGATGCATCAACAAATACATGACAAAGATATTTAGGATTAAACAAAGTTAAAATAGACCTAGAAATTAATGCATCTTTTAATTTTTGAAAAGCTATTTGACATTCATCAGTCCATTTATATGGGGTTTCTTTCATAAGTAAATTTGTTAGAGGAGCTCTAATATGTCTTAAAATTAGGTAATCAAAATGACATTGCTGTGAATTTCTATAAATATTTAATTTATTATATTGTTATTTGTGTATATTGTAATATTGTATACTATTTTATTTATTTATTTTAGGATTCATTTTGTTGTAACTGACTTTGTGGCCGGTATCAAACTATAGGCCAGATGAGGAAACTGAGCTTATGTGCAGAACTGCCGTTCAAGGGGGAAAGATAGATTAAATACGTTGAGATTCGTCAATGAATACTCGTGACAGCGTGACTAGAGTAAGACTGGAGAATTTCCCATGTTGGTACAAATCAATAAATTTAGTTTGCCAGCTGACAGTTGCTGGAATTTAGGTATACTGAAATTTCAGGTTAAGTAAGTAATTTATTCGTCAATTCAACATATTGGAATTACCTGAATAAATGACAGTCTAAAATTTAATTATTGTTGCGTTCTACTGCTTCGTGGATTTGGAGTGATTAATGACAGTTGATGAAGCATCAAAACAAAATTTATTTATCAGTATTATACAAAAGAGTTCCAAAGACGCGTTTAAAGACGTCGAAAAAGCACGGTAAACACGCTGAAACAATCACCAACACAGCCTTCAGGCTATAACGGAGAAGACAGCTTCACGGCAAAGCACTAAAGTACAGCTTCCGACTCGGTCGATCGCTCTGAAATCAACATACACTCTCCGCATACAGGCAGAGTATATATACCTTTCGACCTACCTTCGGGAACATTCTTAGGAAAGCCGGTAAGAATTCGTTCTAGCCATTTGACCGGCAAGGCCTTATATATACGGATATTATCTAGAATATTTTTTGTGATATCTGTAAGAACGTATATATACGTGCATATTAAAATATGTCAAGGAAATTAAGGCAATATATTAAAAGTATACAAATACAGGTATAAAATACCAGAAGGATTTTTACACTAAAATCAAGAAAATAATTTTTTCTCATAGTAATTTCAGGAAATTCGTGCTTTCCTAGCGAAAACCCTGGTCGGTCAGAGGGCTAGAATGTTCTCGTTCCGTTTATGGTATATTGCCCATTTTGTCGCCAAATGGGCGATTTCGTGCCAAATCTGGCAGCCCTGCCTTTCCTTGCCACTTTCTGGCAACCTTAACCCGCTTTGTGGGGAAGCAGCTGATAGCAGCTGCGCATTTCGTAACAATATTTAGTTGTTAATCTGTCTGTAAGTATAACCAACAGAAATTTCTTGCAGGTAAACCAAACTTTAGACTTCAGATAGAAACTATATAAATTTGAGTTTTTTCCTTTGCGTTGTTATTATTATTTTTCATGTATGTTTTGATGAATATTTAAAAAAGCGAAATTTAAAATTCGAGTGAAATCCAGCTCACTTTTTTTTGTTAAATACGTTTTAAAATTTTGTTTAGAAAATGCTCTGGCCCGTCCGCTGGTTTCAGATCCTGCATTCGCCGGCTTGTAATTTCACCACTGTAGTAGATCATTCAATTCTGAATCCGACTAATTTTAAACTGTATTAATAATAGTTCGACTTTAAAGGAGTTTTATCGTTCTTTACGATTTGCCTATCGCAAAAACAGCAACCTTAGGTTGGCACAAAGTTTTAATAAAACTCCATAGATTTCAAAGCTGATCAAACACACTTCTTTCTTCTTCAAAATATTTTTCAATATTAATGAATACTATTTTCAGTAGTACACAAGTAGAAATATTTTTTGCAAAGGTGGGAGAAGTAACAACTATGATATACAATGAGCGGACGAAAACGGAAAGAAACATAGCGCAACGTGCGAAAACAAAAAGAGAGAGAGAGTGAGAGAGAGCTAAGATATTATACTTTTGAAAGAACTCAATTGAGAATATTTAATTTCATTAATTATAAAAGATAAATATTTGTGAATATGAAATTTTTCTAGTGAATCCACAAAACGTAAGGTAACACACAAAACGCTAAAAAAAGGCTCTTTGGGCGTAACATAAAATCTGAAAACTTTCAGATTCACCCCACTTTAGCGGGCTGTTATGATTTAGCACTTGTATGCACTGATAGTAATTATTCCACTTACCTTTCCCATAAATAAAAGCCGTCATCATCTATCGTAGGAACACAGGACCGTGGATTGATCTATAAGGGAAACAAATGTTTATTAATGAATAACTACAACTCTTGTCTCAAAAGTTTGAAATGAGTTCAATATATCATATATCAACTGAAATAATTATTACCCATTATAATTACGATGGTTATACTGGACCATCTGGACATGAGAAGCAAAGAGGTGAGAATATAAATTATTCTAACCTCCTTGATTTAAAGAATCGCTTGTGATAGTAATGTAAGTGTGCAAGATCTTCTCTAATTGTCTTTTACATCTGAATATTCAGAGGTACAGACTTTACATTTAGACGTCGTCTCTTTTCTTGTGGGCATCTGGACAATGGAATTCTGATTCATGGCAATGCAAAGTCATGCAGTGTCATGAAATTTCTCACTAAATACACCATAACTGTGCTTCCGCATCCTCCTTATTCGTAGAATCTCATCTAATCGTGTGATTTTTTTTCTCTCTTTTCCGCACTTGTAATTAACTACAAAGAACAGTGACATGAAGATATCTAGGATATTCAATAAGCTGTGATAAAAGAGTTCCACTCTCATTCTGAAAGAACTGTTTTCAAGATAAAGTTTAAGATGGTTTGTCATACAGATTGTCGACAGAAATGGACTCAGGTGGAATAACGAAACATTGTATGGGATAGGAGATGAATATGCATTTAGACTAACGTGAGAATGTTAGATATGTTCTGTGTATTTAAAGAGTAAAAGAAAGTAATATAATATTTTTTAAAATATTGAATGTTTTTAATTAGATACATCATGAATTAAATGCATTTTTATTTAAATCACTCAGATTAAAGAGTCAAAAAACTAATATTCTTAACTGCGTGAATTGCTTTTGAATAGTTGTGTAATCAATAACAGAAAGGTTAAATTTGAAACAATATTATCTTAGGTTTTTCCGAGTGGCAACAACTCGAATGAAAAGTGAAACAGCGCAAAATCGCATTTCGAGACTAACAGCCCTTTTGTGCAAATAATAATTTATTCAAATAATTCTGAAAATGAACTCACGAAAACATTGGGACAATTTGAAGAAGCAGCTGAGATTTAATTAAAACATGAAAATAAACAGACATCCCGTTTTTAGTGCGCTATCCTTTAGCTAAAATTACGTTTCCATGTTATTCCAGAAGGATTTAACTGTTTTTTCGCGTAGGAAGTGTATTTCTACATCTTCCATTCTTCCATTAGAATTGTTTTTAAACGAGCTTTCGAAGAACTATCACATTTTCTTATTCTTTTTTTCAACTCACTCCATACACATTCCATACGATTTAAGTATTGAGAATATGGAGGTAACTTGAGGAGAATTTTATAATAACCACAAGGGAATAAGTTGTTGTTACTAATCTCACTTGTCTGACGAAGGTCAGCACGAGCCCACGACATTCTTCGTGGCAAGGAGTCATATGCGCCTGTCGTTGGCAAAGCCTTGAGCACCAATTAGGTAACAGCCCAACTTTAGCTCAGTCTTGAGAGAGAGCACTCCGGAAAGATGTGTCCGAGGGTCTTCGACCCTTCTTCCCATACTACCAGCCTTTACAGAAGACTTTCGACTCGCCGCATATTTAGAGTGCCCTCATACCGCACAGATACTATACATCCATTCTGCCATCTGTCGGCATCCATGACAGCCATGCTTCTTTACAAACATCCACGCTGTCTTCTCAGGATTCGAACCCTTCAAGTACGGCTATCGGAGTCATTATCCACTGTCCTGGGTGGGCGGCACATGGCTACATGTCAGGGATTGTAATCTTGATAGAACTTGAATGTATTTTGCATTCTGAGTTTCTAGCAAATGCTTTCAGGTTTTCATTCATAATATTTATATATTTATACTGATCCATATAATTTTCATTAAAAACTAAATTTTCTATCTCAGAGACAGTGAAACATTCCCCACACCATTATGATTCTAACCTGTGCTTAACGATAAGCAAGAGGATTTTTCGGCTAATTCTTCATTCGGCTTTAGACGCACAGCAATTCGCTCATTGTATTTAGATAAATTATAACTCATCTGTAAATATAACATTGTTCCAATATGATCCATGAGTTTTGCGAAATCCATGTGTACTTTGCTTGTCTTCCTTGTTGACGAAAAAGTTCCTTCTTCCTGATCGCCCGCTGTATTCATATGTCCTATGACTCTTCTAAAAGTTTCAGGGTTAACTTTTATTGGAAACCTTGGTCTAAATTCTCTGCAAGGTTACAACATCATGTTTCATTTTTCGGATAATAAATCTCCAATTCCTTGGTGTTGGCTTGGAATTTGTTCCAGAGTTTCCATACTTAGGATCATCGAACTCTGCTGCACAGTAATGCAGCAGTTCCACTCGAGATTTCTATCACTTTAATAGATCAAAGATAGTTAAACGCTTTACATTAAGGATTTTTTATATTTTACCATCTTTAATACGAATACTTTAATCAACGGTAATATATTTTGAAAGTAATAATTTCAAAATGCACATGATAATTCTTATGTATCTGCCTTTAAAATAAAAAAATTCTGGCAAGAATTATGGTGGGCTAAAACATCTCAACAAAACGTCGAGTGGCTGTCGAGTCTTATCATGCGAGTTCCTGATTAATCCTTTTTTTAAATAATATATTTTACTACAAAGAACATTTTGATGCGTTTTATTTTACATCTAGTATTAAAATAGAGAAAAAATAATGTACATGAAAAAAATTGGAAGTCTACTTTGAAGTATTTAGTAAAAAATCTATGTAAATAAATTTCAAAAATTCAGATGTTCGAAAACAGATATAAATCAGTGTATGTGTGTGAAAGATCTAGCAGAGAAACTCTATAATTGCGGAATTTATCTATGCAGGCGAATTTTATGTATTTAAACATCTTGTTCTGATAATCTAAAGAATAATATGTATACTTCATAGTATAAGGTATTTCTCCCCCTTTCTTAGCATGCATTCGTGGCGTAAGGGTCAGCACGCTCGGTGCGCATTCGAGAAGTTCGCGTACTGGTGAGGGCATTGCTCATTTTTCATGTACTTCTGCTTCTAAAATTAACTAATGTCTATAAATATATAACTAATGTCTATAATAATGTAGCTATAAAGTGTATATACTATAGCATGTGTAGCTATAAATACACAAAGCAGCACGGAAATAACTCTAAAATAAAAGAAATGCTCACATTTTGAATGAAATGGACGTTTAAATTTAAAACTAAGGCTTAGATTAACGTCGCTATCGTAGAAAACCTCTGTACATTTCACAATAACTTTCACATTACCATCCTTTTTCAAGGAGAAAAAATATTCTGCCCAAATAATATGCATAATTAACTGTATATTTAATTTTAAAAGCACTTCATTAAAATACCTCCTTCTTTCATGCAGTTTCTCATTAGCTACTCTGCTCATTTGTGTATAAAATTGTGATGAACTGCTGTTTGACAAACAAGCCTAGTTTTATTTGTTTACGCAGTTTAGAGAAATTAAAATGAGCGTTTCGTCTTGCAAGCTTGTTTGCAGTGAAAATTATCCGGTTTTCGCAATCGCATTGATTTACTTCTTGCACAACCAACTTGTACGAACAAAAATTTAATTCCCAAACAATATTTTTCTCACATTATCATCTGAAATGCGTACCTCAGTGCTATGCTTCGATGAAGGCGTACAAGGATTGTTCTTTCACTCCCTGCTTAATGGGTTTAGTATTCTCCAAAGTTCCTACACAGTTCGCAGAGCTGTTGTTGCTTTCTTTTCCAATTTTAAATAGGTCAACCTGAAATTTTCGGCTCGTGCAATTGCTTATTTTAAATGGACACTTTTCCAGAAGGCTGCATTCGTATAACCGAGTCACCATTAAGTCTCGATTGCAAAAGCACGATGTTGTGCGTAAAACCAGCGTCGAATTAAGTGACGGGATAAATCTATACAGCCGGCTGCTTGTGATGCTATGTTTAATGGCACACTGAGTTCATATGTCAGAAAATAAATAAATAATAAATTTTCCCTTAACATATATTTAACCCCTGTGGGGGCTATTAGCGTTTTTGCCCCTATCACTTTTCAAATGAAAAGTCGATCATATGCTGGCGGAAGAGGGCCTGCAAGGTCTTCGCCACCGGCAGGCGCCGTTCAGAAAAGAGCGCCAACAGACGCTACTCTGACAATGATCAGCAACATGAATTTTTATTAATAATTATGTCTTTATAAGCAAATATTCGAGAAAACATTTAAATAAAAAATATGTAACGGAATAAATTGCGTTTAATACAAAGATATAAAGTTAGAATGCCTTTAGAATGAAATTAAAATTTACTGAGCATAGTCTTACGAAATGCCCAGCTGCGCTATGATAGCTTCCTTGCAAAGCGAGTTTAGGTTTGCCAGAAAATAGCAAGGAAAAGCAGGGTTGCGAGATTTGGTGCGAAATCGCCCATTTGGTGACAAAATAGGCAATATGCCGTAGATGGAGCGAGAACATTCTAGAACAACTTCTTACCGGTTTTCCACAGAATGTTCTCGAAGACATGTTAAAAGCTATATAAACCCTGCCTATACGCGGAGTAGGAGTATATCGTAAAGAATATCTTGAGTGTGTTGAGTTCAGAAGTAGTGCTTCGAGTTCAGAGATAGTTCGAAATGGATCGACCGAGTCAGAAGTTACACTTTAGTGCTTTGCCGTGAAGCTGTCTTCACCGTTATAGCTTGATAGCCTGTGTTGCAAATTGTTTCAAAGTGTTTATCGTAGATTTTCGACGACTGTAAACATATCTTTGGAACTCCCCTGTGTAATACTGACGAATAAAGTATATTTTTGATTCTTCAAGTGTTGCCATCAATTACTCCAATTCCGAGAAACCCGCAGAAAGCAACAATACTTTTATGCACAGCAAGATGTCGGTATTAAAAAAATTTTGAACGCTTTCTAACACTTAACTGGCTTGACCTGCTTATTTGAAAAATCGAGACATGTCGTACCACTCCATCATACAATCAAGCGTTAAAAGAATAACTGAAAA